GGAGTGCTATGTTTTGTACACGACAGCTTTATGATGGAGCCTTTTGCAATTTAAATTATACTGCAGAGCTATTATCAAGATACATGGTCGTCAGACAGAACACGACGATTGGGCGACATGGACTGTAACGACATAGTGAAGCACCAAGATCGTTTTAATGTGACATATTCAACCCTCTGTAGGTATTTACATGCCATATTTCTACTCTGTTGATGTCTGAGCATAGCCATTCTTGATATATATATATCTAATCAAAAACACATTAGGTGTAAAAAAAAAAAACGTGGCCGAAAAAGGAATGAGCATGCGACTTAAATGGATGAAATCAAAATTAGCAGCCAAAAATATAACTACACTTATAGCATTGATAAGAATTTTACAGCAAATATTCATTCATTAGTTAGCTAGGCCCCGGTTTTTATTCAACTTGGGGCATGATGGTGGAAAAAACATAATAAATTTCAAATTTCATATATTTTGTCCTTGATACACAGTATAACAGTAACTTCTGCTTGTCGTAGTCAAGGAGTGCCATTAGGCCCGTCAAACGGACTTATTTACATGTGCCGCAAAAAGTTTGGGACATTAAAAGTGTGCCGCGAACTGAAAAAGTTTGGGAAGCACTGCTTTATAGAACCAACCATATGGTGGTAGATTTTCCTCTCTAAAACAGTGTTAATAGCTTTCTTTACAGTAACCCCATGAAATCTAGATTAACAATTTCTTGTCATCACCCACATACACTCGGTACAGCCATATCAAGCATCATTATTTATGATAAAATCACGTGACGCTAAATGCTCTTTAATTATGAGAATTTCATAAAATTTAGCAAATTTGTTTTTAAAAGTTGGCAATTAATAATAACCATCCACTCTATGATTTTTTTAAAAACTTGAGCTAGAAACTGCTAATCTAGTTTGTTTGGCTTAACCAATACTTGTGTATCTGCATGCTCCTTCACCACATAGATTTGCTGCTGTAAATCAGCGGTCTATAATCCAAATGACAAAAAAGTAAAAACGGTCCACTTTTACTATTAGTTGAAGCTGTAGTAAAAATTTTAAACCGACAGCTCACATAACTTTTTGCGTAGGCGTGCGCAAAAATTTTGGTCAAATTTCAGCGGTTTTTGTTGAATAACTTTGTACATGTGGCTTATATTTTGACCACATTTTTCACCTAATTGTAGGTTTTAAAGATCAATCAGTGTACCAAATTTGAAAAAAAACCCATAAAAATTAAGTATGTTTTTCTATTAAATAAATTTTACGCACTTTTGGTGTGAAGAGAAGAGAAAAAATAGGAACACATTTAATCAAAATTGGAATTTATATTTATTTCTTAATGGATTGCCCTGAAATATGGTATGTGAAGTGAGGATCCAGTAGCGCACAAACACTGAAAATATGTGATAGTTTGGATTTTCACAATCCGAGCTACAGAAAGTGGAAAATCGCAAAGCTATCACTCTTGTTAATAACACAGTGTCCCCTACATGTTGTTTTCGCCACACTAGAGTTTGCCTTGGTATATAGCATGAATTACATTATTGCTCATAAATTCGATATGCTATGAATTACATCAGTGACTTTGTTAGGTTTGGAACGAGGTAGTGTGTCCTAGTAGATTACATTTACCTATTCATTAGTTGTGTGTGTGTATATGTACAATTATTATTTATCTAACTGAAGCCCCTGAAAAAAAGTGGTAAAAAATATAGGAATTAGAGCCGGTAGTGACAGAGAGTCCATTTTGATCATGAAAAGCAACGTGGAAAGGTGTAATATATAGCTTTTCCCAAACTTTTTCATCCAGCCCCCCCCCCCTAATAAATATGGTTTCTTGTGTGTCCCTTTCTTTCTTTGAGCGAGTTAAGTGACAAGATGTAATACACAGATACGTATTAAAAGGCTTTGTAGTAATTACATATTACAAAGGCCTGCGGTGGTTTTAGTCTTGAAATACTTACACGTTCTATAGTAATTTCTGTACGCTGAATCCGAAAAAAGTTATCAATTTTTTCTCATCACTTGCAGATTTTTCACAAAACGTCATGACGCAATATGTATATATATAAAAGAAAGACCACAACACGTGACTAAAACACGTAATTTCAAAGGAAAAAAAAGGATGAAGGAAGATGCATATTTGTTTGACATCAATGTTCTTCCCTTTTCTTCAGTCTCTTTGTATTTTTTAACAAACATAATATTAAATGTTCATTGTGGTAAACAAAATAATAATTTGACCTAAGTAAGGTTTTTTCTTCCCGATTTGTAAAATAATCCTTACGTTATAGAGAAAAAAAATATATTTTAGAAACTGCGTAGCTGAATTATGGGAAATCCGTTATTAAGACCCAAACAACCTTTAAGTAGTTTAAATTCGCCAGCCTGTGTTATTTTCATTAAATAATAATAAATTAAAACGCTCAAGTTGCATTATTGGCTCTATTCTAATCACTCGCCCACTTTGGGAAAGTTTCTGTATACGGTGTACGTCCACTTGTATAAACGATACAACCGCTTCAACGAGAAATAAAATATTTTTTTTATACAGGCTATGTTTTTTTAACCTTAAAATAAACTACATCTAAATTTAATAAGATGACGTCATTGCTATTATGCTAGATTTAACTTTCTAAGGCCTAACGGTATTCATACGTAGAAAAGAATATTTAGGTTACAATTAATTTTTTTCTTCACCTAGTAGATTACTTTTATAGTGAAAACGAATATTTGCTTCTTGGTCTAGTTCATCTTGTTGACGCTTGCATTTCGAAGTAAACACAAAAAAAATGCTCATTAAATTAAATAATAGTTACACTAAAAACTGTAATGAAAACGTTTAACTGAGGTTTCAAATTTTTTCTTACGACAAATTCAGTTGATAGTACGGAGAAATTCAGTAAAAATCTCAAGGTTTTTAACCAACTTTTGTATTATTGCTTAGGCCTAAATTATCAATTTGCGTCTCAAGTTATCCTAATTTGTGACTTCAAGTACAGGAGTTAATTCAAGTCTTATCACAACACCCAAATAATTTACTAGAAAATTTAAAGGTATTTTAAATTTTATATTGAGATTAATAAGCAGATTCCTAGCATATTTAATTAACACTAGGCATCAGTGCTCAATGTAAATTCAAGACAATGGTTGTGATTTTTACAATACCATCTTGTGGGGGATGTTTGGCGTTACGAGCATAGAAAATCCGTATTTTTTGAACATAAAAATTACGGCAGTCTAAATTAATTGTTCTCATAATGTGATTTACGGAATCATAACGTTAATTCTAAATTAGCATTACGGGCTCATAATTGACTATCAGTACGAATTACGGAAGTTAAAAGTTAGTTTTTATTACATGATCATCATTTGTGTACGAAATATTATTTATGCTAACACAGTAGTAAATTGACCAACAAAGTTTTATAATCATAATAAATATTGTTACGCCTCCGTTCGTTAGTTAATTTTCCGTATAATTTCTTCCCGAAGAAACTTTACTGATACAAGTCCTTTCTTAAATAAAACTGGTTTATTCTTTCTGAATACAACTTTGCGATACACTTAATTTCAACAGTCGCAGTATAACAAACGCTATATCTCACAACGAACGTCTCACGTGCCCAACAATATTCTCTCTGTCCGCAATTCAATAACTCAATACATTACCTCGCCTCAGTTCTTATTGGCATAAATATACAAGACTACACTATATCTAGAAGGGTCCCGAGATTTAAGGAAGGGACGTGAATGTTCGAGAAGGACGTGGCGTGATACTAGTTACGTGACCTCCGCTGACGCAACACTATATAATATAAAGAACATGTTTTAATTAAGCATTGGTTTGTCTTCTTCAGATACATCTTGTTCTCGTATTCATTATAGCCCCAAAGCCCAGATTCTGAGGAAGAATTATGGTAGATACTGGTTATCTGTACGTAGATACGGTTGGTATTAAAACGTGTGCATGGGCCTTCCCAGCTTTGAGGAGATCCACAGGTAAACGAGCCATTGTGTATGGTAAAACAATCAATTAGCACGATTGCAGTAGTTCAAAATGTGGACTTACGGGCCCGTAACACTAAACATAAAAATATGATCCTTACATTTCTGCCTGTAGTAACGTGGATGAATTTCGTTATATGCAAGTTCTGTGAAATCAAAATAAAACTTACCCCAAACGCTCTGGGTAACTTACTGTACAGCTTTAAAATTCAGTTATATGTTGAAAAAATTTGGTACCTTCCATTTTCAATCTGGTGACCAGTGACTCTTAAAAATAGTATCTATACAGTATAACATAGTAAGTGCAATAGTCACGCAGTTTAAATGATTAGACTAGCATAATCACCATTACGTTAATAATTAATAATGCAGTAGAATTTGACTGTATAAAGTATTAAATATTATGAAATGTAAGATTTTTTATTATATACTTCAATAACGCAGATTTCAACATGTTTGGTGGCAGGTATACATTTGATGATATTTTAATAATCTACTTGTTAAGCCCGTCCTCATACCATATCGTTGTGTAAAACGTTACATCGTTTCTAAAGCAAGTTTAAACCTATTAATCTCATGTCTTCACTCTTATCACTTAAAATACACGTTTTTAATGCATAACTGCAGTAATAAGTTGATTTATACTTTATAACTGAACAAAAAAAATGTCAAACATATTAGCCATGGTTTAGCAATATAATAACCTTTAGTTTTGTAATATTTATTTTATCATCAACTACAAATCTTTGATCCAGCTATTTGAGAGAAATACTTTTTTTTTGTTTCTTGTTATTCATAGACACGTGAACATATTCTTTTCTTAAAGTTGAAATTCTCAATACCCTAAGCATGTAAAAACTATAAGTACCATATATTCACAGTACAAGTTTGGTGAGGTTATTGTATTATTTAAAAATTAATTACGAGTTTTGAAGATTACACATTCTTTTATTGATTCATATAAACTGATATATCAAAAATGCATTTTTGCTTTAAAATGTTTTTATTGTTTCTCTGTTAGGGCAACATTTTGATGTTATACACACATATCTCATTATACTAGTACAAGACAAAATGAAGTCTTGTCTTCCTTGATTCTACTGTCAAATGAAATGTGTTATTTATATAAGCAAGTTATTCTCTTCAATAACATAGCTTTTAAAAAATTATATGTAAAAAAGAAATTCAGTAGATGCACCAGAAAAGGAAAAATCTAGTCTTCAGATATAATAGCTATATAACAGGATTTTTTTCTCGTTTTAAAAAAAATAATCATATATTGATTATTGTTGGATTGATTAATAGCTCTGAAAAACTAAACCCAAGCAAACCATTATGATAGATCTACAAGAGCAGAGAACTAAATAAGTGATTCTAACTTCAATATTTGTCATTAGTAGCATAGAAATTACCCGAAAAAATTTTAATTTTTGCTCTAACATTAAAAAAAAAAAAGTTACTGCTTGAATTACCTTAAATGCTTATTGCAGTAGTTCAAGAGTTACTGTGTTAAGTAATATGTTAAATTAAAGTCTAAATTAATAGTTGACAGGTTGCACATCAGTAGTAACTTCAAAAAATGTGTGTGGCAACCAGCTTCCACAATATTTTGCGTAAGGTTACATACATTTTTGAAGTATACTACTAACAGCTTACAAGTTCTCTTACCAATATGGTTAGGCAATATATTTACTGTTGTGAAACTGTAAATTAGGGAATAGTTGTTTTACTCATTGTTTTCAACCTTATTTGTAGTTTTTGAAAACACAACAGGAGTGGTACAGCCTATACTTTCAGGAAAGGTTTATTCAAGATCTATTTTCTTATTAGCATTAAGTTTTTCTACAAATCGTTAATAATTTCAAATTTCAAGGATATTTTGCGTCATTTCTACCTCTGGTATTAGAATATAAAATCAGAAACTAGCAGGTAAAAATTAAAATGCACCAAAAATTTCAAATAGACTGTATGATGAAGTCTAGCTATTCACATAAGTGAGAGAAATCGACTGGCGTGTATAAATGGATATAAATCGACATATAAAAATATTTAGCTGTCATTACTAAAATGTACTAGCAAATCCTTGAGAACTATGTTATTTCCCAAAAAGCTTGACAGACACCAAAAACAATATTGTCAAAAAATCAACTTGTGATTTGTTGATAATAAACAAAGTCAAGAAATGCATCAAGTTATTTAGAAAATTATGAAAACCAAGAATCAGTACATTGTGGAGCATTATAATGCCAAATTTGTTTCATACAAGATTGCCTGCCACCTAATGTTAAGATCACTGGGTAATATTATATTCTTAACTAAGAACTACCTATGATGATAAAATATTAATTAGCTCAAAGATATTTTTTAAATTTTTGTTAAGGAATAGTTTACTTTTGCCATTTTTTTTTGATAATGTTAGTGTAGTCCACTCTTTTGGAAACACTTTTTATCAATCATTTTTAAAGTTATTCACACCAAAACCTATCTTACTTTCAAGTTTGTATGTTCATTCAACTTAATTCTGAAATTAACGAGTTATTTTTATTAAAGAATTAATCTTTAAATATAAACGTTTGTGGCTGTTCACACTGGTTTCCCAGATCCTTTTTAAGCCAACTAAAATCACATTATTTTATTAGTTATGTACTGCCCAGCTTCAGTTCTTTGATAATAACAGTCACGAGTTACGATTATGTATCCAACTCTTGACTCACTTTGAACATTAAATGCTTCCAATAAAATTAATCCCAAAGTTAAACATCAGAAAAGTTTACCCCAAGCATCAATAAATTTTAGCATATCACCAACTCGATAACTTGTATTTGTGAAACTGGTATCATTCTGAACATGCAGTATGTGAAAAGCTGGAGGGGAAAGTCATTTTTAAGGTAGTTTTTTTTTACTGGAAGATGCAATCTTTATTTATTTGAGCCATTTGCACTCTTGGATGTTTTCAAATGACTGTAGTCTCACATCAAAAGAATGCAAGTTCTTAGAATATCTTTCAGGAATCTGAAAAGCCATAATTTTAGTAGACGAATTATTTGCAGTTTCTATCAACAATTAAAGAATAAAAACTTTTCTTAAAATCATATAAATGGTTTTGGTGTGGTACAATATGACATATTAAAGTAGAATAAGGGAAAGAGTGCAGAGCAACTGCAGGGGTTAAAAAAAATAATACAGTTGTTAGCAGGATACATGTTAAGGATAACATAATATTAAAGTTTCTGATTTCATGATTATCATTGAAAAGCCTTAACACATTACAGCCAAGAATCACACTCTCCCAAACTTGCATTGTCTTTAGTTATCTTAAAAAGGTTAGTAATAAAACATCCCTGCTTTAATGATATCTGATTTACAATGCCTCCAGTTTGTCCTGTTGCAGAATCTGTTTTAAACTGTGCAATAACCCCCCAAAAAAACTTTTTTTTTTATTTCTTTGAGAAACCTATAACCCCATATACAACGGAAAAACGCTCTCTCTTTGATATGTCACTCTTTATTCCATGATTACTAAATTAAACATTAAACTTGTTCATTAGCACGTCTGCAACTTACCCATAGACCTATCAAACATTTTCAGAACAACGTTGTGGAGAAGAAACGTGTATTTCAATAAAAGATCACCAAGACTTACAGTTAACTGCTGACATTTACAACAAACATAATAAAACAATGACACAGTGATGAAGTTCTGGTAATATGACAATGAGTTGATGACTACAGTTGCTTAAACGATTCTTTTTTTCATTTGTCAGTAAATCAGGGAAACATGCTTCAATAAGGTCTTGATCTTCTGTCACCTCGATCCCTAAACAAAAACAAAAGAGGCTTACCCCACTGAATTTATTGAGAAGTTAACCATAAAATTATCATTTATTTCACATATGAAATTATTGAAATTCCATAAACTGAAACAATTCTTTACCAAAGCAATTTCTTAGAAAAATCTACTGATATGCAAACATCAAGTAGTAATTCACATTTAAAATCTAGTATACTAAAACAGATTTTAGGGTTTGAAATTAACAGTAGCAAGTCTGCCACCTAAAAGTATTTGCTACTTGACTTAAGTCAATGGTAAATATTTGCTACCAAGGAATCTAGTTGAAATTTAAAAAAAAAAAAATACTAATTTTTATTATTTTTTTTTTCTTGGAAAAATCTGGTTGCTTATTCACAAATTCAGCTTCTACTAAATACAAAAGTTGAATGATGTCTTTGTCTCCACTGTATTATGGCAGGTTCACACTGTAAAAGTAACATACACACCATAACATGGGAACTATTTCATCATAATAAAAGCTGAAACTCTAACTTAGGTTTGTATGCAAGAAGCTGCACCAACATGTTAGGTGAAAACGTCATCCTTTTGACCAATAAAAACAGGTGTCTTACATTTGTGCATGCAGTGTGAATTTGTCCTTTTAAGAACCTAACAACTGGCCATCAATAACAAATGAAAATACACATATGAAAATGATTTTTCAATATGTACTTATAAGGGTGTTTTTCTATTTAAATAATATTTGTCTTTCAGTTTAAAGATTAGTTGAATGGTGAAAATAATTTCTAGGCTTACCACCCTTAGAAGTTGTTTTTCTAACAATCTGAAATGAAAATATTGTGTCAGAGTACAAGTTTCTTAGATTTTAATACAGACCTAGGCCTATTGCATTAGTCTAATATATAGCACTGTTAGATTCTGAGAACTGACACATACTGAGATTAATAGACCTACAAACATACTACGCATTCAACCGAGCTACAAATGAAAACAGCTGTATAGTATTTATTTAGAAGGGCATACCTATAATACGCACCCCAAAGAATGGCAGAACACACAATAAAGCAAAAAACACAAGTAACCATTGGTGACTTTGTGGAAACAAAATAAAACCATGAGTTATTAATTAAAATGTTTTGAACTGCAAAAGAAGGCTATGGGATTTATTAATTTGATTCACATTTTATGATATGAATTCACTTCTACACTTCTCTGTATTTGAAAAGTTTGCTATCCAAGTATCGATTTTACTTCTTCAAAAAATGTTTCTAGCCCTGATATTTTTTAACCTCGTGTACTCTATACTAGCATTATTTCCATAAAGAGTTAAGTAACTAGAGTCCTAGCAGTTTAATTACCCAAATCCACCACGACCAGGCCCTCCTCGACCAAAACCTCGTCCTCCCATGGGTGATCCACCACGTCCCCTATCACTACGTCCTCTCATGCTTCCTCGAGGTCCACCTCGAGACTGAGAGCCATCATGTGCCGGGCTTCCTGGTCCCCGTGGGGATTTGCAGCGATTGCACACATCTCGCCAGGCAAAGTTGTTGTTTCCACAAGCCCTACAATTTTACAACAGACATTGAAAGGAAGGAATAAAAAATCAACATTAATCACCTCCAAGCTATCTAAATACATATAAATTCAAAAGTTAGAGTATGCTAATGTGATTTTTTTTTTTAAGTATCTAACACCAAACTATGTTAGCACAGGTGTGTTTATCAATGCACACATTACGTACAATTCTCCCAGAAAAAAAAGACTCAAAATCAGGATAATTATGATGCCCTTAGTTGTAAACACACACACACACATAAACTGTAGTACACCTTTAGTATTGGTAGTTGCTCTTCAAACACACTATGAAAAATGTCAAAAAAGGTAGATGAAAACTCAAACTCTAGTAAAATAACCTTTGACAATGGTGGGTTAATTTTCAAACTCAGAAACAGCAACAACAAAAATCTTAGCAGACTATTTTTTTTTTATTCTTTCTTCAACCCATTTAATGGCAATTGTAATTTTAAAGGAAATAGCAATGAAGAATCAAAAACTAGGTTCGATAAACTTCAAAGTCCAGTTGGTCAGGAATGAAACTGCTATCACAAAGATGGTCATCTGTTTTACTCCATGAAAGACAGTATCTTACTTCATTAGTATAGCTGAAGTAATGTAACTTACACCAATGATACTGAATATTCAAGGTAACCTAATGTTAACACTGGCATAATGAATTAAAACCACAAAAAATGAAATATGTTACTAATTGACCTGTCTCACAAGTAGACTAATTATACCTAAATATAAAAAAAAGGAAGGGGGAAAGCAGAAGTTAGTTATAAATTAAACCTATTATGCACCTATCAGATAAAAACATATGTACTAAAGTGTCCCTGAAGAAGAAAGGTCCATTTTTCAAAAGTGCTCAGGTTACAGGGTATCACATCTTTGTACTAAATTGATTTTTTGAACCTGTACGTGTTTCTGACAATTTGAGTGCACGTCATATAGTCAAAATCAACTTTGCATTTTTCACAAAAGGTAACACACTACAATTAGCATTTTCAGCAACGACCTCAATACTTACGGATTTGGACACTGCCAATCACCATCTCTACCACCACCCATTGGAGGTCCACCATCTCCACCTCCTCCACCACGGCCACCTTGGAAAACAATCAAACTCAAAGACTTTTCCAAACAAGTTTATTATATGACAACTTCAATGATCATCATTCAGATATATTTACATTGGATCCAAATAAGTTACACACAACTAATAAGTTTGAATTTTTTGCATTACCTTTGCTTCAAACGGTATACATGTTATGAAAAACTAATCTATCAAACAGCGGTTTTTAAAAAGCATGTCAGAAAAAGTACATACCAGGAAGTATCACTGATCTCATATAATAAAATCAGCCTAGTATGCCAAAATTAAATAACTTTGCATTAAAAAAAAAAAACTCATGGATCGTTATACTTAAACCCACACAATTTCACACAATGAAAATTAACAAGGATATTTATTAAAAACTTAGAATTACATTATTTTGCAATCCATTATCACTAATTTAACAGCATGAAGCAACTTTGATACTGCAAGTTTAACCTGAGATACCATTTTCTTTCAATTTTTAAATGTTAAGTCTCCTTTCTAGTAGCATCATCTTTCTCAGTGTAAAAGTTAATACTAAAAAGTTCATTCAAAACATCAATTATTGTGTTAAAGCGGAATAAGAATTAGCAGAAAAGGCTTTGTGTTTAATGTGGTACATGGTAACCTTAACTCTACATGCATGAGGTTAGTCCAGTGGACTGAACCTATTACTGGAGAATTACTGTTTACTATAATTCCAAATTTACTTGATGCGTAGTGATAAAATTTGGTAAGCTGTTACCAAACACTACAAGTATGTTGTACCCAAAAAAAATCTGTATTTTTAATGAAATATTTTTATTAAAGATTTGGCTCTGAATTGACTTTAATCAGTCTGATTCCGACTGACTAGTCTGAGTACAAGATATTTCTACGTTTACAACAAAAAATACTATTTATATCCTCTTAGATTTCAAATTTCATTTACATAACCTTCAGGACCTCTTAAACAAATATCAGTTGTTTTTTTTTAATAACAATCTATATTTTATCTGTTATTTTCTCTACCCTAAAACTACATGGGTTTGGTCCACCATTTCACCAACCTTGTAACCACCACAAAAAAATAAAATAGACTGGTCAAGTAAAGTATTTTACATAACTAAAAACCTTCCATAAATAGTTACCTCTTCCACCACGCATACCACCACCACCTCCACCTCGACCTGATCCAAAGGAATGGGGCTTTCTCTGGGCCAGCTCAACTTTAATTATGTTTCCAAGAAACTCCTTTCCTAAATATGTGAAAATGAAATTAAGAAATATGATGTAATGAACTTGTATTAATAAACCTAATAAAACACAACCCACGAACACCAAATATTTGTGCATACTCTGTAACAATAAACCTAATAATACACAACCCATGAACACCAGATATTTGTTCATGCTCTATATTAATAAACCTAATAATACACAACCCACAAACACCAGATACTTGTTCATGCTCTATATTAATAAACCTAATAATACACAACCCACGAACACCAGATATTTGTTCATGCTCTATATTAATAAACCTAATAATACACAACCAATGAACACCAGATATTTGTTCATGCTCTAAGTCTAAGTTTTGACGAAGGTACAAGTAGAGAATAATAATTCATTATGAAGCTTTATAAGCTGCATACATCTAGTTTACAGATTTTTTTTCATTTAATATTGCATTCACATTCTAAGCAGTTGCAATTCAAAAATAAACACCATAATATGATCAGAATTTTTGTTACAACTGAATTTATGAAACAACAGTTTCTTATCAGAAGTGTAAAAAAATCAGTGACGCATAAATGCAAAGAAATGGTTTACATCATCAGAAGAGAAAGATACATAAAACAGCCTTTGTCAGAACAAGCGTACAAGCGAGGAATATACAATATTATCATTTTCACGTTAATGATTCATAATTGGTAAATAGAGATAATGCAAATAACCCATATAACATATCTCGGTGGGTTGAGTTAACACCTGTCACATTGTTTTTCTTTTTTTTCGGTGTAGTAAAACAAACCAACTACTGGATGAAATTGTTTAAAATTGAGGTGAATTTTCTAAATGTAGCTAATGTAAAATAAAATATTTCAACTGTGATATTTCTTGAAATTTCAACTTTAAAAGTCCAAAAAGATTTCTTGCAAAATGTTTTTCTTACAAGAACAAATGATACCTTTGGTAAATATTTCAAGTACTTATTAGTTGTCTTCCTATATTCTGAAAAGCTTTACAATAAAGTTTTGGGTTTACAAAACTGTCAGTTCTATTATATTTTTGATACCATGTTGGAATGAAAACTGTAATGTCGAAATATAAAAATTTTAGAAAACCAAAGAATACAAATATGATATTGTATCAAAATGTGTCTTGCATCAAAAAAGGCAACCTTGACATGCCATTATTTGAAAAGTATATTGCCACTAGTTAAATTTGTGACTGGTAACAAAAATACATACCACCGAACCAGGATATAGCAGAGGTGGCTGTTGGAGGATCATCATATGTGACAGTTGCTTCACCTTTTCCTCTGCCAGTCATCTTGTCCTTATAGATCCAGATCTTAGGCTTTCCAGTCTTTTTGTCCATCTGGTATACGAGAGGTACAACTGATCAATAATTAACACTAGATTCTTGTAAGTACTTGAATTATCATGAAACAAGTTGAAAAAAACTTGTGTGTGAAAAGTAGCATCAACACTGCCATTATACGTTTTGTCCTGTACAATCAGCATAAACATTTGTCTGGAAGAAATCTTCATTAATTAAATTTACAGGTTACTTTCTGTACACATGATAGTATAAACTTAATCTATACATGTTACACTTTTTCAAGAAGATGTAATACGTCAACTACGACAATAACACAAGCTGTAGAAGTTACATGTGAAAGGCCTAGAACATAATTAAATGAATATTTAACAAAGGATGTGGCAGAACACATTGCTGTTGTGGTTTTAATTGATATTTGGTATACAGTCTATTTGATCACTTTGCCAAATATTAGAGCCCTTTCAATAGCCCAATAATTGTTATGAATAATTAACACATAGAAGTACAATTTAACATATTCTGATGTAGAATAGTACTAGCACTAAGAAGTTAGATTTTTAGTAATTATTACAAAAATTACTCGACTCCTTTATCAGAAACGTGTGTTTGTGTGCATAATTTTCATATTTTCAAAAGTACACAAACCTACTTTCTTGCTACAAAAAGAGATCTTAAATTTGATACATTTAAACAATTTTAGTACAGTAAGTGAATATTAGTTTTCAAAGCAATCACCTTAAACTTTATCAGTCTAAATGAGTACCTTAATCAGTCTTTTAATAAACAACAACCCACGTTTGTTTTTAACATACGACACTTTTCTTGTTAATACACATTTATCATTCAGTTATCACAAAAACTATTTGTAGGCATTTGTAATTTTTCTTTTGCATTCTTGTAAAACTACATTCATAACATTATACAGGGTTTTTACACTATTTTCCAAGTGTAATCAAAATGCTACACTGTTACTTTTATGCACTGTATTAAAGTTTTCTGTGTATGTAATTCAGATTTCTGTGTAAGCACTATAGCTGGTCATCCATCATTAAAATGGTACTTGTTTGACATTTGCTGAGAGAATTTAAAAGAGTTAAATACCCATCTAACTAAACCATTTCAAAGCAGCAACCACAGCCTCACCTGCCAGCTCTGGTGAACATAAAACTTGCACAAGAATACATCTGACTAACAAAGCAGTAAGCCAATCCAGCAGCATGACACTGCACAAAATTGAATTAGGTCATATCCAATTTATTCGAGGAGGCTGAGGCTTAAAAATGGGGAATGCAAAAATTAAACATAGCCCGTTTAAGGAAAGGAATCTAAGTTCCCATTACCTTATAATAAAATCCTAAAATTTACATGGTATTACACAGGACTGGATTTTGTTAAATCAGTCTTCCAGGTTTTTGAAGCACCCATACAAACCTTGATTATACCACATTAAACTTATCACTTACTCATTGGAGGTATGCAACAATATTCACTTTAAGATTTTACACACAGATATTATTATCCAGTACTTAAAATGATGGAGTCTGAAGTTGAGATGCAATAAAACAGTCAGTGCAAAGAAACATTTCTCTGTCTCATAAATGCTACTGGTTTCGACCAATAGGAATCTTCATTCAGAGATACTATTGAAAACAACACTGTCATTTCTAAACAATAACAGGTTAGATTGAGCTTTATAACTGGTGGTGATAAATGAGAAATTAATTTCACTTGTAACAACAGCTTCTTTGTCATGACCTATTTGACCATTATCATCAGTGCCACTAGATATCTGCAGATATTTCACTGCAGCAAAACATGTCTCCTGCCTTACACTTTTAACAGGTGGTGACTGTGATGACCATGTTTAAATTACTGTGAAATTTGTCAGTTTCAATGCTTTCTCCATTAAACTGTTTCACTGTTTGTTTATTTTGGTCATTGAAAAACATTACTTAAAAGCAATGGCCAAACTAATGTTTCCAATCCAAATTAACTTGTTATTCCTCAGACAGTTAGCGACAAAGAGTAGCCACAGTTGGTCTAAAATCTAATAAAGCCTGTAAAGAATTAAGTTTTATAAGTTTATCAAACAGTTGTAAAAAAGTTTGAACATGCCTCCTATTAGAATCAATGACTATGATTGAACTTAGTGATATTGTCAGTGACACAGATACAAACTGTTCTCTTTTGATCCAAAACTTTCAAGTAGACAATATTTTGAATTAAATTTTGTACAAATTTCTTTTGAAGCATAATTAAATAATTTCTAATAGCCATTAACTTTCAATGTGCTAGAGACAAGGTATTAAAATATGTAACAGCCTGTATACTGACCATTATAAGATCAACTAGAACTAACTAGGATTTCGAGCAAAAAAATGTTAGATGTGAAGAAAACATGCTTCATTTGACATCCCAGCATCATTAGAATCTTTCATGGTATTTGTCTTATCATCTCTTACTGGGCAAGAATTATTTTATTTCTAATTTCCATTATAACTGTTAGATCTGCCAACATCTTCCTTACTGCATCACCAGTTTGACTTTCATGAAAAAAAACTATGACATTAAAAGCAGCATGTTGTAAATTCACATGCTCTTCTGTTAACATAACTGTTTTTGAACCTCATCAAATATTTCAAATTAACAGAAATGACACTGACATTCAAAATCTAATGAGTAAAAGCAGTCTTGCTTCTTTCGTATAAAGTTAGTTTTGCTTGGTAATCCATATTATGGTTGTGCTTTCTTCATTAAGAGAACAAAACTTTCATTATTATTATTATTATCATTATCTTGTTAACATTCCTAGATCTTGTTATATAAAATTCCCAGAATTTGAAATACTGGACCCATTAAATTTTTCTTTCTTTATTGTGAATTCTTGTAGTCCTAAACATGCTCATTTTTTAGGTGATTATGTACTTAGGAAGTAGAAAGTGCTTTCCCTTTGCTACCACATTAAATTAATAATTATATGCTCTATGATTTGCACTTCATCTTAAAATCACTAATTCCAAATAATCCCACACAGGACTTTTATATTTTGCATGAAAGACAGCAATCAACTAAGACAGTCTCAGAAATCAATCAGTGTATACTACAAGTGAAAGGTCTGTCCATGTCTTGTTTATTAATTATTGCAGGACATACTACAAATTGAGACTTTAAAAAAGCCCTGGAAATGTCCAGGAAAAATACTAAACTCTTCATAAAATTATTTCATTTCTGTTGAAAAATATAACTGGCAGGGCTAACTACAATATAAGTATTCACCTGGAATTACTACATGATCCTTTGTTGAAGTAGTGTTACTGCATCCTACTGAGTAAGTAATATTTTTTTTTTCCTCATGTAATATAGTGTCAAATGTCCTCTGGAACTAGCAAAACTGTCTGTTTAATTGAATTTATCCTCTATTTGTTATCCAGCTACAACATTATCCACTACATCCCTAGAATGCTTTGATATGTAACTGGGCCAAAATCAAGCCATTTATAAAATATGTGCGTATGAGGTGCAAAATGCATAAAATATAAAACATGTTTTACAGGAAGCTCTTAAAGACTTAGTGAGCAAAACCAGGTTCTGTAAAGGTAAAGAAAGAGCATGTGTCTGTCAGTATTTCTTCCTCATAAGCAAACTAAGACTAAGTTACAAATGCAAGTAATGAATTTTATCCAAACATTATTCACCACGGAGTAATAAATGTATATGGAAAATTGTAATGCATAATGCTAAAATTAGAAGTGAAAAAAAAATTTACAAAATTACATACAACAGAGACCATAAACTAAACTAAACATGCTTATAAAAATCAATTTATAACACTGAATATACTAATTGTAACTTAAGATATTTTCCAAGGCTGATCAATTATTACACTTACCATACGATAGTATATGAAAAACTTAAGGTAGAATATCAACATTATTTCATATCTCATCTGATGATCTTTTTTACATAGTCACAATAATCAATAATAATAGACAGCTTTGATCAGCAAAAGTTACATTTTCACCTAATTAAAACACATTATGTAATTAAAACAGTAGAGGATAAAAACTCAAATTAAGTGTATAAAACTGGTTCATAAAATGTAAGAATTAAATTAAAATATAAGGGTACAAACAACAACTAACCTTAATTATTCCTATAGAGCCAAAGTGTTCACCCAGCTGTTGCTCATTTACATCCTCTGGTAAACCAGTGACAAAGACAGTGTCCACCATTAACTCAGCATCTGGACCTAAAGTGACCACCAAAGCAACTTCAAGAGCTATGTAGATGTGCATGTGGTATAAGTATGAAAATATCAAACTTGTTTTTAAGACACTATAAAAAATTGTCTTACTGAAAGTGTAAACAATTAATGCTCATTCCATGTAGCAAAATGAGTATTTCCATAAGCAGAGAATACCAGATGCAAAGCTGTGCTGAAAACTTTTTTTGCACAGTTAACACATTTGTTTAGTCTTTATGCAAATATATAAAAACAGTAGGAGTTAAATTATCAAAAAGTTACTTTTGTTAGTGGGTTACTTAATACATTAATATGAACATGTTACTAATTCATGCCATAAGATACACATTAGTTTTAATGTAATGCTTTTGATTAAAAATTGAGAACTCAAAAATTATGTTACCATTTCAACAGTCCAGCTTTTACCAGTTAATATGACAAATCACAAACCTTGTTCCAATCCATATAATGGGCAGAAGTATTCAAACAATTTGATGGTGCTTCCACAAAATATACATAAATGAACATTTTATAAAACTTTTTAAAAAAGTTATCAAACAATGTGTCCTATATACATATATCTGTAATAACACTCCTGATAATCAGACTATTATTTTCATTAAGAGCAGTTTTAGCTTGTGAATTAAAAATATAACTTCACCTCCATATCCCCCAGTTCCTCCTCCATTCACGGGGTTGAATTCACTTCTTCCTGCATTAATAACATAAAACCAGAAATATTTGTTCAATACCAGATCTTGTTTCAAGAAAAACATACTTCTTAATTAAGTTAATTACTTCAAAATCTTATTATGCATATGAAAAAGATTAATAACAAGTTCTTAAAGTGCCAACTTTAAAAAAAAAAAACTCCTTAGCAGCATGTATGAAGATTTT